AAGATCCTGAGAGGAGAATGGAGGAGAAGGGATTGCGGCGTGGCCATCCCCCCCAGGGGTTAATTTCTCGCTTTCTGTCTCTCTGTCTCTGTCTGTCTGGCGAGTGCACATGCCCTATAGCAAAAACCTCTCCAAAAAAAAAAGACAGGAGGCTGCTACATTGATCCATCAACTCCAGCCCCTCCTCAGGTTGTCCCAGAGCAACTAAGCTATCCTCTTTTTATGGAGAGGTTTTGGGCGTGCGCTCGCCAGAAAGACAGAGAGAAACAGAGAGATGGAAAGCGAGAAACCACCCCCCAGGGGGGATGGCCATGCCGCAATCCCTTCTCCTCCATTCCCTTTTCGGGATCTTGGACATGCATGCACACATGCCAGGCGTGAGTTTAAACCACCAGGTCCAGGATTTGAACCACGGTCAACTACATGGGAGTCCAGCGACATAGCCATTACATCAATTGCTGGTCCCTAAGCTATCCTTCCCCCCCCCCCTAGGTGGAATATTCCTGTGGCCTCGGAGATACCCAGAGGCAGAAGGTGGCTATGCTTGAGGTGAAACCTGTCACTGAGCAGTGACCTAGAGCTTGTACAAAACCCTCTACTACTGAGCAGCTGAAGTCAGAGGTGAGCCATGGGGATGTGATATGGGCACCCAAAGTCGTCTGCTACAAAACCCAAAACGTTCGGCATGATATTTTTCTCCCACAGCTCAAAGCCCCTCCAAAGAGAATTCTCTGCCATCAATTGTACCGACTCTTCATACCTCACGGCATCCTGTGCCACAGCTGATTGGATCGAGGCAGGCACTGATCCCAAGGGCAGCCAGGCTTTAGGCTGGCGAGTAACCCACAGGTACGTAAGGCCAATCAGTCAGGCTCTCTCTGGGGAAGTCAGAGTGGGGGAAGCCAGGAGCATGAGTGCACCCACAGTAGGTATCTCTCTCTCTCTCTCTCTCTTTCTCTTTCTCTAAGAAACAAGAAATAGAGAATAGAGTTCTTGCTTTCACGAAGCTTACTCTTTAAATGTTTGGTGGGTGGATGAATAAGTGAATGGGTGGGTGGATATTTGAGTGAAGCTTTGAGGTGGGAAGGGCCACTGGAAAGGAACAAAAGATCCTCCCTTCCACTGAATTTTTTGAGTCACCCCTTCTCCCAGGCCAGATGCATCTTCATCCTATATTAGTTTTGTATCACTATGTAACACAGTTCCCCCTGACTGAGTAGCTTAAAACTGTAATGATCACTTCACAGTTTTTGCATGTCATGAATTTAGACAAGATGCCTCCGGAACGGCTTATCTCCGATCCACAATCTCTGGCGTCTCACCTGGAAGGCTTGAAAGCTGGGACCTGAAGTCATCGAGTGACTTGACTGAGGATGAAGATTCTGCTTCCGAGATAGCTCCCTCATATGGTTGTGGTGAATTGGTTATGTCCACGTGGGCCTCTCCACAGGGCTGCCCAAGTGTCCTCAAACACAGCAGTCAGCTGTCCCCTGAGTAAATTACCCGAGAGGGAGCACGCAGGAGCAGCAATGCCTTTCATGACTTAGCTTCAGAAGTCGCCTGCTGTCACCATCACCACGTTCTAGTCATTAGAAGCAAGTTACTCAGGGGCTCCCTTCTCAGCACATAGACTCAAATAAGAATGATACCGAGAAGATTAGCATGGCCACTGCACAAGAACGGCAAGCAAATTTGTGACACAGTCCATATTTGTAAAACATTCTAGAACTCGAAGCAAAACAACCACAATCCCTTTCTCAGGCCCACAGAGTGATTGTTCTCATTCCTCCAGTTGTTACCACCTCCGGTCAAAATTCTTTTTCTAGAAACTTCCACCCAGTAGGAACCATTCTCCCTAATTGCATCCCTACCAGCCTTCTCTAAACAAGTAACAGCCCTTGGTATTTTAAGGATTTTACTGCTAATCCTTTCAGAAAAGAAAAGCAAATGGAGGTTAAAGGTGACAAATCTAGGGAAATCATAAAAGTTACAAGAAACTTGATAGGGCCAGCCACATAGCACAGTGGTTAAGCCCTGTGCGTCAGGGGCCAGCTCCCACATGGCTGACCCTGGTTTTAATCTTGGCCCTGGCGTTCGAAAACATACCAGGTGCATGTATGTATGTGCCCGGACTCCAGATAAGATGGTGAAATGGAAGAAAAGGATTGCAGCACGACTGTGGTGTTCTCTCTCCCCTCTCTCTCACGCGTGCGCCTGTGCGTCCCTGCACCGTCTGATCATTTTAAAAAGCAAACCAAGAAAATTGATAAAGAATCAGAGAAGTCACTATCCTGAGATTTGCTGAAGTTGATGCCAGAATAAGCTTGTTCAGGAGGACCAGAAATTGATCCGTGTCACTTGTCACTTGACAAGGAGACAAGAGCTGGTGAATAAGGAAGGGAATTTATTTCAGTGAAGCCAGCACTGGGGAAGGCATGGACTGGAGCCCGTAACTGTCTCCACCAAACTGGAAGACATGCAGAATTTATCTAGGGGAAGGGGTCGGTGTGAGCGTACATCCAGAAGCAGAGGGTGAGTTATTCATTGAGGTAATCACTGTTTGAGGCATGCAGGGTGGAATGACAGCTTCAGATCTCTGCAAAGGACTTAAAAGTAAGGGAGAAGAAGCAAAATGGAGTTAGTCAAGACTTTTAGATCCTGATTTCGAAGCAGTGAGGGTCCAGGTGTGGCTTTGCAACATTTGAGCTGAGACAATCTTTTGGGGGGGGGGGAACAAGCAGTTAGGGGGGGGGCTAGGGCGCGG